TTTAGAACAGCTTTGTGGTCTATTATACGGTGCTGGTGGTGCTAATGAGTGCCGTTTCATTGGCATACATAAAATTACCCCTTTGTAATTCGAGAAAATAAAGAATCACGATGTAATTCAATAAAACAAGAACTTTTAATCGAAAATTCTACTTAACAAAGTACTAATTTGATTTATAATCATTTATAACTAAAACAAAAAAAGAAAATTTCTTCTAAATAAAAACAGAAAATTCTTTCCAAATTAATTTCATTTTGTTGGAAAGTTTCTTTTCGGAAAAAAATCTATGTGCGAAAAATTTTTCCTATAATTTTGATATTGATTGATTTTCATATATCCGAAAAATTGTAGTCAAAAAAGAAAGAGAGAGAAAGAAAGAAAGCACAAATATCACTGTGGAGAAAAGTTATGAGAATGAGAAGATTTGCAATATTAAGGATGTTCGGGTGTAAAAAATGTGAGATTGGTTAAAAGCATGATTAGACCAGAGAGAAAAGACTTCGACGCCAAGAGAGGCTGAGTCATAAATCAGTCGAGCAAATTGATTGGGAGAAATAAGGGATCGGTGGTCTGCTCGGTAATCGAGTCGTAAACCGATCGCGTCGCTTGGGAAACTTTGGCGTCTCTCTCTCTCTCTATATATATATATATATATATATAGGCGTCACTTTATCATGCTTATTCAGGAAACTATTAGACTACCATTAGAAATCGCCTATGTCGCAGGTAAAAGGACATTATTTTACCACGCATATCCTTCTAAAGTAAAGAAACTTTTTCCTGACTCGAGGGATATAAAAATGTTGACGAGATTTCTCTCTCTCTCTCTCTTTTTTTTCCTCTCACGATACTCGCTTTTATTTCAAACAAGCCAACTCTTAGATATAAAACTTTTTTATACTGGAGGAAAACATTTGACATAATTTAAGATATACAGGTTTATGGCTTTTTCGAGGAATTCTGTTTTTATAAGCAATCGAACATTAATGAAAATTAAAATATAATATAGGAACAATTTTTTTTCTATTACAAATTCTTATTGGCCATAAAGAGTTACATCTATCTATTCTTGCTTGATAAAAGAGCGAGAAAAACGAGCTTCCCTTTAGAAAAAAAAACTTTTGATGAATGCTTCTGTTTCGTTAAATTTATGAAAGTAATTTTTCTCTGTCCTCTTTTTAGGCATATATAAGAAGAGACTATAAACATCTCGGTAGATAAGTGTGAAAAATGTTGGCAATTATGAAATAATAATAAATCGAATTTTAATCCTTTCGAGGTGAAATATAATGCAGTACAAGTGTGCCATATTATTAATATGTGTCCTGACGCGGTGAAAGGGACCTTATGGTATAATAGCAAATTGTACTTTTGAATGTTCATAATAAAAAACGAATTGAACAAAATAATTTCTAGTTTTTGGAAATGAAAGAGCAACTCAAATAATTTGATTTCCAAAAATTAGAAATTATTTTGTTCAATTCATTTTTTATTATGAACATTTAAAGTACAATTTGCAATTAAACCATAAGGTCCCTTTCACCGCGTCAGGACACATATATCGACAAATTCAATTTTAAAAATTTTATCAAACTTCTTCGATTATGTATAAATTTTTAAATCAAAAAAATAATTTATTTAAAATTTAAATATAACAATTTTGATGAAAACCGAAAAATTGTTTTCAAAAATAAAAACTGGATTTTATAAGAAAATAGTATATTTGAGATTTTTAAACAAAGAAAAAAGTATTTTATATCCTCCTGAGGATGTGCGAAGTTGCAAGTATTTCTGAGAATATTCTTTTTTTCTCAGAGAAAGAAAGCGAGAGAAAAATACAAGAGCATTTTTGTAAGGTACCAAGAAGAATGGTGGATAAAATATTATTATCTCTAGATCTTAATAAGATAAAGGTGATTGTGGCTATAAGAAGATAGTCTGTAAGCTCAAGCTATTTTCCTTACAGGTTGAGAGTTTCCATCTCCTCTAGAAACAAAATTTAATACTCTGAAATAGTGCGTGTACATCCAGAAGATGTAATAAAGAATAATGAGTGTTTAGTTAACTTACTTAAACTTTTTTTCAAGTCAAAAGGAATATAATTGTATTTTTCAAATAATAATTAGATTTTCTTATTAATTCAATTTTTTCAAGTTTTTTGTTATATTGCAAAAATCTTTTTTTCAAAAAAAAAGATTCAATATTTTGTGTTTACAAAGCTTTGTAAGACATTTTATTTTATAAATATTTATAGAAACTGCAATCACTAAAATGTCAAAGGGAATTTGAAAAATATCAACCCTTGTTTGTGTGACTACAGTGCTTTTGATTTGACATTCTACTGAATTTAATTTTTTCCTCCTTTTTTGTGTGTATAAAAGCTAATCTAAAACAAACGCTTTTGTTGTTTAATTGAAAAAATAGTGATAAAATTTTTCAAAAGTGACAAATTGGCGCTAAATTGTATCCCTTTCATCAGTTGTATATTTATAATTTAATGTGTGAGGAAAATATAATTTTACTGAAATCTCATCAGAAAATTTTCGTAACATTCCCCCAAGTTTGTAATTATTTTCATTTTATTAGAAATAACTTTACGAAACAATAATAATGATTTTGATATTTTCAAATTTAATTCTGCAAATGGAAAAATTTTCGATGGAAGGAATTACATTTGAATTAATATTGAAATTTTTTTCGATTAAACGAGGCACAGACTTCCGTTCCATGCTAATCCCTATGCTAAGAGGAATGTAAAGCAAATAGGGATTTTAAACCGAGCTCAAGTCTACGCTATCGTGTTACAGAAGTCTTTAATTAACGCTGGAAGAATCGCTGGGTCATAAATCAAAGCCCATAAAAGAGATTGGTATGTTGTGGAGGGCAGAAAATTGGCTCCATCGTAAAATACGATGTTACAATACTTATCTCAAATGAATCTTTAAAGTAACATTTTTTTAAAATGTAACTGTATAATATTATTAACAAATAATATTAATTTTTCTGCTAGAAATCCTTTCAAATCCAACTAAAAACATCGCTAAACTCTTGTTACTAAAATTAAATAAATTTACTAAAGTGTCTTGTACTACTGATACTAGAATTTACGTCTAAATTCACGTCTGACTAAAACCGTCTCTTACTACTGATACGAAAATTCAAAGAAATTCACCTCAATTTCCTAACCCAAAAATTTTTTCTTGCTTAAAATTTACCTGACGACATTTTATAGGACGCGCGTGAGGACTTCGTCAGATGGTGTTGCATTATTTGTGGCATTCACCAACATAGATATGAACACATTGATCGAACCACAGTTCGATTGCCAAACCGCCGACTGCAATGCAGTCCGTTGCATTCGAATTTCAACGTTACCATATCTGTTGCATTCATCGCGGTAACACCATGGGAAATTTAATTTCAACTCCTGAAACGAAGTGATGCCGTGTGGACCAATTCAACGTGCAACATCCGCTCTACAACCTCCGATCAACGTGGAGATTTATTGTCCAAAATTTATTTCACGCTGATATATAATTTCTTTCACAAAAAATACATATATAATTTTCTCATTAATATTACAATATGCTTTAGAAATATGCTTTTAAATACAATTTCTCGATCAATTTAACACGTGAAATTGTCATCTCTTTGTTCGGAAGATTTATAATACGCCCCTAATTCTTTTGATTAATCCATTAAAATTGATTGGTTTTTTTTAATAAGAAAATTTGAATTTTTTACCTCACAAAAAATAATAATTAATTTAAACTTTAATAGAGAAAAAAAGTATAAATTTCGTGTAGATAATTTGGTATTAGTACTAAATGGTAATTTTTACCATACGCAATAGTTAAAATATGATAGCAGTAGTAAAAGTCTGTTTTAATCAGACAAACGTTTGGAATTTAATAAAATTAAGATCTGTAGTAAAAACTAGTTTTAGTCAGACACAACGTTGAGAATTTAATTTGAATATCAGTAGTAAAATAAAATTTTAGTCAGACTAGTAAATGAAGATAGTAGCGCACCTTGGTTGAATTTGTGTGAAACATCAACGCGAAAAATTTTCCCAGAGGATAACTTATCGATTACCGGGATAGTGTAGACTTTATAAAATAATTTTCCAGCGACCATCGAGAGATGGCAGTGAATGTTCCTTACAAAGCGATATTTGATTTTTATTTTTTGTCTAGCTTTTTTTTATCTTTTGACGTTTTCATAAATATAATAAAAACATTAATATGCTAAATGCAAAAATTGTTTAAAAAATTTTAATTATAAGATATTTTACTAAAAAAATTGTATTTCTTCAATTAAAAAAACTGCTTAATAGAAAATTCAGGTAAAGTATACTGTGGAACAATTATAAACTTTTCTAATATAAAACAACTTAGCAATCATAACTTTCAAGAGCCTTCTTGACTCTTTTTCATCGTTTCAATCATCATCTTCTTTCTTTCATTCTTTTCTTTTGCTAGTTAATTTTTCTCTTTTAAAACCCTTGTTACATTCTAGATTCGAGTCTCATCTTTTTACTTTCCAACAATCGAGCTCTGGAATGTGTCGCCCCGTAAATATAATTTCTTCCCGAGCTAACGCCTTACGAAGTGGAAGCAATGGCCTTTAAGGAAAGGCGCGTTATTAAGCAGCCGAGCCAGCAAAATGTAATTCGATAAACGATGAAAGAAGGCACGATTCTAGAATAACGTAGAGAACCCAGAAAGAATTTTCAGAATGATTTCAATCAATTATATCTGCTTCATAAAACTTGGATATTTATAATGAGTCACTGCTCTTTTGTCATTTATATAATAATTGAATTTCAAGTACCAACATCTGTTCAATATTTAATACAGAAATAAATGTTCCAAGTCAATTCTTATTCCCATAAATTATTTCATTTAAAAATGTATTTTGATAATTTGTTTTTGAAAAATGAATACGCCTTTTTTAAATTTCAAAAATTCAAGAATAAATTTTCCAGAATTGAAAAATGTTCACGGAGCCAATGTGAAACAATGATGTAAAATCTTTATATTAAATTTTTATATCACATTTCGATCCTAATAAAAAAAAGAAAGATTGGGGAAAAAACTATACGAGTTTAACTTAAGAGTATCGAGTTGAAAGTTCAACATATATATACAGTATTTCAAACATAACAGAGCCAGGAGAATAATAAATAACGTTTCTAGGAATTACAGTAGCGTGAGAACTTTCGATTGCCACGATCAATCACGGATTCGGGAACCGTGGATTTGGATTTCAGCACAATAAGCCGATAAATATTCTGCTCAATATCAGAGGAGAAACCGAGAAACTTTGAATTCGCGTGAAGTTACTGTGGGGGATGATTCAGATTCATTCAAATTCAAATTGCATTCCACGGTGTGTTTCGGATATTCGTATACACAGCAAAAAACACTTTATAATCAAGAACAGTATTTTTTTGTCCTCACATTTTTTTTTTTTTTTATTTGTCCGTCATTAACTGAATATCTTTGAAAAATATTTCCTTTCATAACACAATTGCAAATGAAAATAGTATTTCAAGACTAAAAGCAAAGGATATATAATGTATAAAATGAAATTCTCACATAGCTCACTTAGGAATTTGCAACAGAGAGAGAGAATAATTTGCTCATTAACTTGTCTTAATTAATTAAACACATTTCTGACTCTTTTGAGACACATGACAATAAGAGAAAATATCAACTTTCGTTTGTTTGTGAATCTTGTTTCTCAGATTCACTTTGAAAATATTTTCTTCCTTCAATCGCAGAAATTCGCATAATTCAGAATTCTATATTATTCAAAATTATATCAATTAATTAATTAATTAAAATGGAAATAATTCACTGTTTTATGCAGAGATACTTAGATAAAAAAAAATATTATAGTTTATTATTTTAAACTGAAAACCCTATTGTTTAATTATGGAATATAAATAATTTTACGATTATTTAAAGACTGGATTGGTCGGTGATTGAATTTTTCATTGTTTAAAAGTTCAATTGATCTAAAGCATTGCATCTGAAAAATGAATATTTTAATTGAAATTTTATATTTAAAATATTTTTAAAAATTGATAATTTTTAAATGGGACAGACCTCTTCTTTTGTTACGGACAGAATTTGTGTGCTCAAAATCCACAAAACATTTTCCCAACAAAGTGGCCTTGTCACTGACCCATTATAAATATAATATCCATGTTCTGTTGTAAATTTAAATGTTGACAATGGAAATGGTTCAACTGTCGTTGAATTGCTTTTATTTTTAATTAATAAAATACTCTCTGCTAATGGAGAAATATCTGATTTTTCTCCCTCATTAATCTGTAAACATGGATTTATTGTTAAAGTTGAAGTCAAAACATTTTTAATTCATCATTTATATAAAATTATATGAGAATAGAAGTTTCAATAAAATAATTAAAAGCAAAAAATTTTTAAAGAATTTTTCAAACAAATTTTAATGAATAGTTAAATTTAATTAAGGTAAATCTAAATTGATATAAATTTGTTTCATTCGAGATGGTAAATACCTGAAATACTGTCCCAATAACTAATAATCCATCACTTTGGTTTAAAGCTTTTTCGAAGCTTTCGTATTTATCACTATAGTGTACTAAATGCATTTCCAAAGGGAAGCTATTTTTTCAAAAAAAAAAAAAAAAGAAATTGATTATCTTTTTTTTTGAAATTTAATACCATTTTTATTATAACTATTTGATTTTACCTTGTATAGTTAAAAGTATGTTCACTCCCATCAGAGTCATTAATACCCCAATGAAAGTGTAAACTGTCAAAAATGTAATTACTGGATGCAATTGTAACAAAAGGAGCAAAATCTACCCACTCTACATTTAAATTGACTGAAATTGTTTTGTAGCTTTTATAATTATTATTGTAAAAATATTGTAATTTTTCAATTCATAAAAATTTTAATAAAATTTTACTACCTTTTTGTCCATTATTTAATAATTTCATTTCTTTTGGTATTACATCATATCCATGAAATGTTAAATTAACACCTTGATCATCTGGATAAATTTGCGATAAATCAATATTAATTGGTGACTGTCGATTTCCATAACATTCAGAATAATTATTACCCCATTCATGAGCATTAAAATAATTGTATCTAATAGAAGATTTTATGTTATCTGTAAAAATTTTCAATTTTTAAAAATGGGAACTATATGCATGTACTTTTTCATAAAAAATACTCTCAAACTTCTACTTTAATAAATTTTCCGTTTCCTTCTTTCGATATATGTCCACGTTAAAATGCACTTAAAAAAGTTTTAAAATATTTTAATTTGTGATAAATAACAAATATGTCATGTTTTTCTGTTCACCTGTTTTTAGTTCCTCCATACCCATACATTGCAATTTTATATTGACAATTTGATATAAAAATGCATACGTCAAAATAACTTTTCTAGAAAATTGATGCATTGCTTTTTTTACAAAAAAAAAAAAAAAATAGAATTAATATTTAATTAAAATACTAAAGTAGATTTGAAATAACAGACGGTTAGGCTATTACTGAAACTAATATCGACTTTTTTTTAAAGAATTTACAAAATATTTAAATATCATTGTGTTTAGAATTATCAAAGAAATAAAAAAAACAACAATGAAATTTAATTAAATATTATAGCGTTATTGAATATTCTGTAGATTTTTCATTTGTACAGATTCGTGTTTTGTAGCTGTGGTTGATATACGAACGTGTCCAGTCATTTGTCACAGGTCACGTCCAGAATATTTTGAAAAGCCCCTAGTCAATAGGCATTGAATACATATGTTTTTGAATTTAATCTTACAATATATGTGTAAACTTTCAAAAGCTAACATCTCAACTAAAAGCGGACTCTGTAAATAGTTATTTTACTGAATTTTTCTATTTCAAAGTATAAACATTTTTCTCTTTATATACAATTCACTCTTTCATAAATATAATCTTCCCGATATTCATTTGCAATTCTATTAAATAAAAAAGTGGAAAAATTTATGTTTACTTTGAATCTTTAATATATTCGCAAAGTTTAAAAGACTAAAAAACGAAGCTTTTTAAAAAATTCAGTTATCCAAATTTTAATTGCCCAAAAGAGAGAAAGCAGAAACTGTGAAAATAAATGTGCAAGCCAGACGATCATTAAAATAAAAGTCCTTCTACATAATAGAACTTTTATTTGTTCCTCTGGAGCATAATATAATTTAAAAAAGTGAATTTCACACAATTATCCAAGACAACCGTTTAGTATTTATAAATGAATTCCAAGAAACGCGAAAACATTTTCAATTAAATTGCCGCTTAATAACAATAATAAGATTTTCTTTTAATTAGAAAATTTAACAAATTTTATTATCCGAGAAAAAAAGAAGAACAATCCGACATTCTACTACTCAGATTAAAATATAAGTAATTTATGAGAAATATATATCTAGGGATATTGAAGTGAAATTAAATGAGTTGCTAACAAGATTGAGTCCCATGTGTAATAAACTATAATTGTTATCTTATCCAGGTAGAGAGAGAGAGAGAGAGAGTGAGAGAGTACCAAGAAGGAAGTCATTCGGAAACTGGGACTTGCCCACTCGCATTAAGGACATCGATATTCAAAGTTTCCTGTGGCGGAAGCAGCCGTTGCAAAACTTATAGCTTCGCTTAATTTCACACGTGCGAAACTCGCTTATCGCAAATTTGCTATCCACCGAGGAAAGTTATCAACTCGAGAATTTCCGACGTGAATTCCAAAAGTGAAACTTTTCGGCTCCCGAGAAATTTTATCTTTTTTATTATTAAATTATTATCAACTTATTATTTTATTAACCAAAAAGATATAGAAGAACATTTTTTTTTTCTCAAACTCATGTTTATATGATATATATTTTTTAATTAATATTTAACAGACGTCCCACAGTTTTTGTGTTAAATACATATTCATGAAACTTGTGCGAGTTATTGTTACAAAAAAGAAGAGAAAAAAAGAGGAATATCAAAAGAATAATAATTCATGCTACTACTGACCTACTTAATGCGCAAGTTTATCACAGTAATTACTAAAGAGCGAGAGAACATTTGAATTGACTGTTACATTTTGAAGCTAAAAATATGTAGTTTCATTCGAAAGCATTTACAGTGCCAAGGTCAGTTAAAAGACATAAGAATGAATGACAACAATGACTTCATTATGTTCTTTATGAGAAAGACAAATGAGAGCACTTTTCATTTTTTTCTTTTTGCATTATAAAATGACATGAAAGGAAGCAATAATAAATAAATAATAATTACCGCCAAACTCATCACAACGAAATTTGATTGTTTTAATAAGATATTTTTTCTAAACAATTTTATCTAATTTTTTAATAGTCTATCACTTCGAGGTTCAATAGTAATTATTATCAGTGTTCAAGCTTACGTCAAAACAACTCAGAAACTTTGTTCTAGGCTTCTCCACATAGGATTAAAGTTTAACTAATTTATCTTCTAGTTTCTGTCAATTTTCAATAAACTATTTTTTACGGAAATTAGTATCCTAATAGAAGTGGACAATTCTTTCAACTGAAAATAAAATTGTAATGGTAGTTGAAATTTTTTCATAAATCAATTAACAAGTTGGCTCTATTAATATTAATAATACACTCGAAAAGCATTTTTTTAAATAAATAATTAATACATTACTCGATTTTCCACTTAAAATAGAACTATCAATGGAGATTAAGACAAATGTTACATTCAAAAATAGAATAAACTCTTGCGGTAGTTAATTATTTAATGAGTTTGCAATTCTTTTGAATAATTTCTTAACGTTCTCTAAATTGGATTTCCTTGCCTTGATTATTTATACAGAACACTCAATAAATGTTAAATAATTTAAAAAATTGGGACAAGTGGTGTAAAAATGACTAAAAGATACTGGAAAGTTTTTTTTAAACAGTTTCAGAAATAACAAAGGATTTAAATTATTTAAAAGAAAAAGGTCGTCAACTTTTAATTCATTATTTAAATATTGGCCTCTCGTTGAAAAGTTTATTTTAATATTTAAAAAGAAATAATTTAAGTTAACATATTCTATTTTTGAACATGCAATGTAAATATCTTTTTATTCGCGTGTAGTAAAGTTAAAAATATTTTTGTGTATGCATTCCTCTTGTCATCTACTTCACCTATATTTCAATGAAAGCTCTATATATAATGTAAATGTGGTTTTAATTGATAGAAAAAAATTCTGTTTCATTTTGCATTAGTATATAAAAGGATCATTAAAAAAATTTTAAACAAATATGTCTGACTGAAACTAACTTTTACTACTGCTACTAATATTACACGAAATTAGTTCTGTCTGATTAAAACTTGCCGTTACTACTTGCACTGGATTTGCAGAAAATTTCTGTCTGACTAAAACTTATTACTACTGTTACAAAAAAGTACAGGACTATAAACAGTAAAATATTTTTTTCACTACTGCTACTAAAACTTACTTTTACAACGGATTCTAAATTAACACGAATTTAAACCGTTCTGTACGTCTGATACTGACTTTTACTACTGAGAAAACAAGTACAAAAGTTTTGTATTGCTGTAACTGTCTTCTACTGCTTATTATAAAGTTACAGTAATTTGAAAAGTTTTATCCGACTGCAATTTGCTTTTTCCACTAATGCAAAAATCAAGAAAATTGTAAATGTTTTGTCTGACATAAATTGACTTTTACTACTGATAAATTTACATATGTTTAAAACGTACTATTTTTTAGGGGTCACTAAATCTGAATTAGTGTTTAATCTATTTAAAAACAATATATAATAAAAATGTTAAGAAGTTGTCAAAAAAAAATTTGGTCAAAATAACTTCTCTAGAGCACTTTTTGAAAAATAAACCTGTGAAAGCATATGATTGAAGAAAACACGTTTACTGTTATGATACACGTCATTGAATTTGATGGATTTTTATTCGTCTTTTGGCGGGGGATTCGAGGCGAGCGTGTCGCGTTATGCTCTCGTTTCCGATTGAGAAGGATATCGAGGTCTCGACACGTGTCAGACGGTCTCATCGGAAGACGCTTTCGACTCTACCTTTCTTGTCAAACAGGATATCGTCGTATGCCCTCAACGCCCTCTTCACATTTGCTACGTGACCTGAAGTCTTTATCTTTTCTTGCGGCTTGAGCCGTCCCCACCCTCTCTCTCACTCACTCTCTTTTCCTCCTTCGATTTTCACTTCCTGGGAAATTATGGAGACGAAAGAGCAGTTTTCTCTCACTGTGTGCCACCACTGATCGTGAACCCTGTCGACAAAAAAGCTGGGGAAAAACGGACTATAAAGTGAGAGAGAAAAAGGGAACCTGCTTGGAATTGTGAAAATCAGGTGAAAACTTCAAACAAGATTCTGATTAAACTAGATGCGGTGGTTTTTGAAACTTCATCGAATGCGCGCGGGGGCAATGAATTTTACAAGCTCCAATTTGCCAGCTACTTATCCCCGATGCAAAGGAATATACAAGTAATTTTCCACAACTATAAAAGCCAAACAAAAATAATTTACCTTGAAACGATTCAGAAAGTCAATATTTAAATTTTACTTCCAGCTTTTATAATTGTTTGCTCAAAATATAATCGATTCACTGCACACACGAACGAGAAAAAGAATACATAAAAAATTCTTAAGGTACCGGATTTTATAAAAGCCAGGAAAAATTTAATTTTCGAATAATGAAAATTTAGTAAATTTTCAATTATTTAGAAAAAAAATCTACCAATTAAAATTTGTACAAGAATGTGTGAGATATTAAACTTTTTACATGGTTAATTTTTTTCTCCCAGTTGTATCGTTTATCATTATTAATTTTGATTCGCAAAATTGTTTTGTCAATGTTTTTTTTTCTTTTTTTCACTTCCGTGAAATAGTATCATTACTGCTGTTTGTTAAGTTAAAACCTTAACCGTAGTATATTTCAGTTGCAAAACATAGTATTTCAGTGTTTAGGTAAAATACAACACCCCCCCCCCTTCGCCCCACCTCTTCAACCATACTACGCGAGGAAACATGCGGGTCGTGTACAACTCTAGAGAGTGAGAGAGTGAGAGATATTCGTGAAACTACCCCCATAAGTGTTTCTTCCAGCGCCATTCATTTCCGGTTTATGCTTCTGACTCCCAGTGAAAACAATATTGAATTGTTGATTCAAATTTAAGACGTCGCAACACCACCTAAGAGATTTCATCTTTTGTATATTTGATATAAAATAGAAATTTATTTATGCGATAATAATTTTAATTAAATAATTAGGCATATCAAAAATATATTACGTTTTTTTTTAATAAACGTAATTAATTTTTAAAGCTCGTGAAAACATACACTGATGATGCTTCTTGAAAATATGAACTTCTTAATCATTACGGACATGAGTTTTCAGCAAAAGTTTAAATTTTCTTCACTCTCTTGAGTTATATTAACTTTCTCATAAGATGGTATGTATTGATGGAAGGGAAGTTTCAAACTTTATCGAAATATT